CCGCTGCTTTTCTGCTGCCAGCGGCCGAGTAAACATGGAGCTCTCCGCCGTGGGCGAGAGGGTCTTCGCGGCTGAGGCCTTGCTCAAGAGACGCATCCGTAAAGTAGGTGCCCCGGCCCCGCCTGGCAGCGCAGTCCCGGCTTTGTGCGCGCAGCAGCGAACCCGCCAGGCCCGCCCGAGGCCGCAGGCAGGCAGGCAGGCAGGCTGGCGAGCGGGGCTCTGCTCGGCTCGGCTCCGCACGGCTCCCTCCTCTCTGCAGCAGCTCTTTGCTGCCTGCCGCTCCCCCTTTCGGCTCGCCCTGCGCAGATTGCCACCATCTCGAGCGTCGCGGACGCTTTCCTCCTCTTAAATGCATGCACGTTTTGGCTGCTGCGGCTATATTTTGCTGCACGCAGCTCTGCATGCATATTGGATCCCGGCTTGCAGCACGCCCCCTTTTCATGCATGGATTTTTTTCCGCCCTTGCAGCTTGCCTTTGCATTTTCGTAGCATGCTTTGGGCTGCTTGCTTTTTTTTTTTTTAATTGACGCATGCGGTCGGGGATACCTTTGATTTTTATGGCGACTACGTTTTAGCACCAGTTTATTTAGTACACCCCCTGAAATGCATGCTCATTTGTTTCTTCTTCTTGACAACTGCAGGGTCGTATGGAATATCTGGTGAAATGGAAAGGCTGGTCTCAGAAGTAAGTAGACCTCAGTGTAGTCTAATGCACGTTGGTAGCAAAAATTGCAGTAGGACTGGAGATAGTGCTTTGTTGGGTAGATGGAGGGACACATTTTTTTCAGAAAGCTACCTTCCACTGCTGTGTTCTGGAAGATAAAGAAATGTGTGTATAGGAGGGAAAAGCAAGGTATCTTCTTTCTGTTCTCTTTCTCTCTCCCTCTCTGTTTGACTTTCTTCCTCTTTTTGCTAGATACAGCACCTGGGAACCCGAGGAAAACATTCTTGATGCCCGTCTGCTTGCTGCTTTTGAGGAAAGGTATGTCTTCTTGAGGAAACCTAGGCGGTCTTATTTATTAGAGCCATATCATTGTGTTTTAGAGCACCATTAAATCACTCTATGTCCTGACAATGTATGCGTTTATTTTTCTTAAAAACCACATTTAGGGAAAGAGAAATGGAACTTTATGGTCCTAAGAAACGTGGCCCCAAGCCCAAAACTTTCCTTTTAAAGGTAAGAAAGAAAAGTACAAGAGCCATATTTTTTGAGTTGCTGCTATGATCATAATGGAAAATGTGACTTTTTCTTAATTAAAAGGCCACATTTTGAAGAACCGGGTCCTTTACTGCTGCGTGTGTGAGTGAGTGAAGGAAGGGGGTCACTTTGCCTTTAAGTTGCATTGATAAGATTGTTGTGGTATAGGATGATGATGATGATAATAATAATAATAATAATGGCTTTTATATTTTATTAGGATTGTTTTTTATGTATTTATTGTTCTTACTGATTGTTGCATATCACCCAGAGTCGCTTCTTGTGAGGTGGGTGGCCACATCAGGGTGGTTTAATAAGTAAATAAAACAGGACTAAAGCAGTATAGTTGCTTCCACTGTTTTTCAGGCCCAGGCTAAAGCCAAAGCCAAGACCTATGAATTCCGTAGTGACTCTGCCAGGGGCATCCGGGTACCTTACCCAGGACGATCTCCCCAGGAGCTCGGCTCTACTTCCCGGGCTAGAGAAGGACTGAGACAGATCCCGCTGCCCCCTCAAAGCAGCTCCACCACTGCTACCCCCAACGTGCCCCGAATGGAGACGATCCAGGAAAACAGGGTAGGGGCAGAGGAAGACCGATCTGAAGGGTCCTTTAAAAAGCGAGGTCCAAAGCCCAGGAAAGACCTGCCTGAAATGGCAGATGTTGCTTCAAAGCGGAAATCAATGGAGCCTGGCGAGAAGATGGTGGTGGACTACCTAAAAGCCAGAAAATTGGAAGAGTCGGCTAACTCCGGGGCAGCAAAATTCAGTTCGGGACACAGTGTGATCCAGTTAGCCCGGAGACGGGAGCCTGAGTTACCCAGTGCTGTTTCCAACCCCAGGGCAGAAGCTGGCATTAAGCTGGGTGCACCTGAGACTTACCCTCCTAGACTGACAAAGCACAGGGCGGATTTCCTGGATCCCAAAGGGCAAAGTGGTTTGGACTTGGGGACTCCTAAGATCTTGCACAGCTCTGCAAACCAAGGCAGCTTATATCGAGATGGCATAGGGACGCAGGCTGGCAGGCCTTCCCTCATCGCCCGCATCCCTGTCTCCAGGATCCTGGGTGACCCAGAAGAAGAAGCTTGGAGCCCATCTCTCAACAATCTGGAGAAAGTAGTAGTGACTGATGTGACATCCAATTTCTTGACAGTAACCATCAAGGAGAGCAGCACAGACCAAGGCTTCTTTAAAGAAAAGCGGTGAATTCCTTCAGAGAAGAGGAGAAGTCATTGAAAGGCTTTGGATAGAGGTCGGCTGACTTGGGATTTTTTTAAACTTTTATTTTTAAACTTTTTTGGACAGGCTTGCATTTCAAATATCTGTCCTTAATTCTTTCTTTATATGCC